GATCTCCCAAGCGAAATGCTGAGGGAGGGTGGCGTTTGTGCACAGACTGCCCTATATGACATCATAACAACAGTCTGGACCGCTGGACGGGTTCCGCAGGATTGGAAGGATGCCCTGGTGGTCCCCCTTTTTAAGAAGGGGGACCGCACAGACTGTAACAACTACAGGGGCATCTCACTCCTCAGTGTGCCGGGAAAGGTCCTGGCAAGGATTATTCAGCATCGCCTTGCCAGGCACGCTGAGGAGAGGCTTGCGGAGCCCCAATGCGGTTTCAGGAAAGGGCGGTCCTGCACAGATGCCATATTTTCTGTCCGTCTGCTACAGCAGAGGTGTAGCGAATTCCAACAAGACCTACATCTCTGCTTTATTGACCTGGTCAAGGCCTATGATACCATCAGTAGGCCTGGGCTCTGGGTCGTTCTTCGTGCTTTTGGAGTACCTGACCCTCTGCTCACGATCATTAAGGACCTTCATGATGGTGAGCGGGCCCGGGTAAAACTACGTGGCCGGGAGTCAGAGCCATTCCCTGTACACCTTGGGGTGCGACAGGGATGTCCTCTGGCTCCCACATTATTTAACATCTATTTTGACCACGTAGTTCGTGAAGCCTTCAATAGCTGTACCGGGGGAATCTCCATATGGTACAGATATAATGGGAGGCTAATCGATGCCCGGGTGCGGTCAAGGGATGGCTCCCGATTGCTCAACCACGTTATGTATGCTGATGACTTGGTAATAGCTGCTCAGTCAGAGGAGGAGTTGGAGACGCTGCTGCTGAGACTGGAGCGTGCCACTAAGAGGTGGGGCCTTACCATCAGCCCCACCAAAACTAAGCACCTGCCTGGGTATTTTGTACCATCGGACACTCCACCCCCACAACTCCCAATCGGTGATGGGGCAGTTGTGGAGAGAGTGGAGAGTTTCCCATACCTGGGCAGTGTGCTTATGACTGGCTCCAGTTTAACAGCAGAGGTCTCACTCCGAATCAGTCGAGCGGCAATATCTTTTCATCGGTTGCGTAACGCTGTGTGGAAGCTACCTGGTCTGTCGCTCCGCACTAAGCTTCAGGTCTTCTCGGCCACGGTCATTCCCTCCCTTCTCTACGCTTGCGAAACGTGGACCCCCCTAATGGAACATCTTCGCCGGTTAGAAACATTTAGGCTGGCCTGCCTACGATCCATCCTGGGTTTAACCAGACTGGATTGTGTGAGGAGCTCACAAATCCTTGAAAGATCTGGGCAGGGTCCCATCGGTGAGCTCCTCCGGCAGGCAAGGCTGCGATGGCTGGGTCATGTAGCCCGCATGCCCAGCCACCGCATGCCGAAACAGCTTTTGTTTGGCCGGATTGAGGGGGCTAAGCGGGCGCGGCACGGGCTAGAGAAGAGATGGAGTGATGTGGTACAGGAGGACGTGGAGCTGAGTGGACTTGCCGATGACTGGTACCAGCGGTGTCAAGATCGGCCTCTGTGGAGGAGGCTCGTGAAGGATGCTACTGGGCAGTTGGAGGCAGTCGCCCTCCAACAACAACGGAGGGCGGAGGAGCGACGCTCACAACAACGAGCGGAGCGCCGGGTGGCTAAAGCACAGCAGGTTGGCACAGTAGGGGGCACAGGTGGTGCATCAGCCAGTCATCTCAGTCAGTCGACCCGTGGCACCTGGGTCTGCCCCGTGACCTCCTGCCAGCGGGCGTTCGACACTTCACGTGGCCTCAGGGTGCACATAGCCTGGCACAAGCGTCGTGGTGACGTCACTGCCACTTAGTGGCGAATGGCGGTTGTTGTTGTTGTTGTTGTATCTGTGTGTGGTGTGTGTGGTGTGTGTGGCGTGTCTGTGTGTGTGTAGTGTGTGTGGCGTGTCTGTGTGTGTGTAGTGTCTGTGTAGTGCGTGTGGTGTGTGTGGCGTGTCTGTGTGTGTGTGGTGTGTGTGTAGTGTCTCTGTGTGGTGTGTGTCTCTGTCTGTGTAGTGTCTCTGTGTGTCTCTGTGTTTCTGTGTAACCGGTCCTGGGACTCACCGAGGTCTTCTCTGCAGGCTCCACCGCCACTATTTGGTGCTCGCAAAGTGGCAGTGGTCCCCCCACCACGGGGGGGGGGGGACAGTGGGGGGGGGGCTCTGGGAGTTTGTTGCCAATTTTCGCGTTCCATCTCCCCGAGGACGCGAGGCTTGCGGAGCCCCCGGGGGTGGAAATCCCGCGGCGTTTTTCTCTCTCCACTGGGCAGCCCCCTTGCCAGGAAGGTCGACTGGACGGTAATGCATGCAGGGTCCCTCCCCCCCTACCGCACTGGCAAATAACATAAACCCATAACACAACATCGCTTAATAGCTTATTGTTACATCTCTCGTCATCAGAGGACAAGGCGCGTGATGTTGAATTGTGTTTATTTAAATGTTGTGTATGTAACCTTGAAATGGATTTGATGTTGCCTGCGGGCAGAGTCGCAGCACCCTTGAAAACAAATGAGCTCAATGACTCTTCAGATTTGAAGCTGTCGTGACTGAAAGGATTCATACTCTTTGGTTTTGTCGGTAAAGTCACGTAGGTGAAAAAATAAATAAAATAAATGAAAACTAAATTTAGTTTTAATTTCAAAATAAATAAAATAAAAGAAAACTAAATGTAGTTTTCTTTTATTTTATTTATTTGAAAACTAAATGTAGTTTTCATTTATTTTATTTATTTTGTACGTACGTGACTTTACCGAAAAAAACCAAAGAGTATAGCTCAATGACCTTTACTCGGGAACCAATTTATTATTCTGACTTCAGAACTGTCCATGGCAGGAAAGTCAAGGGAGGCAGGGAGGGTAGGAGGGGGAGTGGGAGGGAGGAGGAGAGTCCTACTAAATCCGAATTTTCCATCTCCCGTGGTGGCACGCAAGCCAGAGAGATTAGGAACCGTGTCGTATTTGGATCAATTAAAATGGACAGGAGTCAACAAGATACACCGCTCACTCTCACCGGGGCTAGGGCCTCAACTTGGCCGTTTGAGCTGCGTGTCTCCGAATCAATCAATCATTCGTGAGTTCACATTCCAGCCATGGGCAACTCGACCTCATCATTGTGGGCATAATTTTACACGACATCATTGGTAGCTTTGATTGCCCGTGTGTCTGCGAGTCAGTGTTGGTCGTCATGTTGGTCGTACAGAGCCGAGTAAGGGCACATTCTGACCGGTACTATTGATGGGCTATATCTGACCTACGACCTACGACCCAAGTCAAAACAAGTGAGCACAATCGGTGTCCGTGATAACGATGGGCATTGAGAGTTAAAGTTGCCGTTTCTGCTGCTGCTGCCGACGACGACGATGATGAGTTAACGATGATGATGCATAATCGATGTTTGGGCGAGGTCACTTCATGACGATGAACCCTTCAAAATTGCCATCGTAAAAACCCCCCCACCCACAGCCACACAGACGCAGGTGTCACGTGTGCGAGCGCTTTCACGATCGTTCGGCGGCGACCGATGTGCACGTGACCCGCGATGCGGGCCACGTGCGGGCGGCAGCGATGGGGAGGTGGATCACCGCACGAACGCTGCGAAACTCCCTCGCCCGTGAGCGCCGAGGAGGCGCCCATAACCCCTGGCTCGCCAGCAGAAGGCGGTGCAGCAATCGTGGATTAACCGCCATGCCTTTTGGCTGCTGTCCGTTCGTATAAAAATGCTGCGCGCGTTGAGCTTTTGATCGCACCGTACGTAGCCAACCGTGCAAAATCAGAGGCGTGGGTGGAGTGTTTCCCCCCTCGCGCAAGGAGCGGCTTTTCTCCGGGTGCTCAGGTTTCCTCCTACGCTTGTTCACACGACTCATTCATTGGCTGACAATATCCTGCGATTAAAAATAAATGAAAAACCCAAATGTCGAAGGTGCCCTACTAAGTGGAGAGTCCCCGTGACACTGCGTAACTTCCTGGATAATTAAATTATCATCATTTACACTCCGCACCCAGTTGGGTTTTTTTTGCTGTCGTCTGACGTACCGATTTGGGGAAAATGTAATCACGACGTTTCGATTGCAACACAAGCAATCATCATCAGGTGTGACAACCACAGCAAGAACATTTTACTGAAGTGGGAGAGAAACCGGAGTCAAGGGGTTTATACTGGCCATGGTAGGGGGGGGGGGGAGTGGGCGGGGCTGTAGGTGCGGGAAGAGGGGCCAGTGGGGAGAGAGCCACGCATCTACAACGATTGCCGCCAACACGGATGGTGGCACTCGCAACAAAATAGCCGCACTGCCAAGCGCTGACGATGTAATTAACTCTGTAAAATAAACTAGTATCCGGTAAATAAGAGGGAACAACTATGAACTGTTCAATTTTACTTGGTTAATAACACATTTTAATGATTGCTCAGTTTGTATCTGTCCTCTGGGTTGAAGTTATGTCTGTGTTTGTATATCTGGATGGCTTCATGAACAAATCTTTAATGGTAGCCAGACGGCTTGCAGAGCACTTTGGTCTCGGAGAAAACAATATCATGGGAGCCCACGGCGTTGTAGCAGTGATCAGCCATGGCGGAAAATTTAGTCCTGCCGTATTTCAAATCTCGCGGATACGGTCTGAGACATGACATTTCGTTTCCCCAATGTAACAATCGAAACAAATGCAACTCAGTTTGTAAACTCCAGGGTATTGCATGTCAGGAATGACATCCTTCACAGATGGGATTAGATCAGGGATTGTGTACTGTACTGAATCGGACCTGGATCTTGTGCTTGTTTTTAAGATTTTGGAAATCTTTTTGGTAACGCCTGCTATGTATGGTGACGTGATGGTTCCCCCACCCCCACCATGCCCAGTATAAACCCCTTGACTCCGGCTTCTTTCCCACTTCAGCAAAATTTCTTGCTGTGGTTGTCACACCTGATGACGATTGCTTGTGTTGCAATCGAAACGTCGTGATTTTTTAAATATTTTTATTTTTTATTTTCTTTACCTCCGTGACTTTACCGAAAGATCCTTGCGGTCATGAAACTTCAAATCTAGAAGGCTTCATCCTCGTCACTCCCACCCCACACTCACCTCCTCTGGGTGCAGTCTCATCACCTGCAGCCGTGAGCTCACCTTCAGAAAGTTTCCAACGCTGCGAAAGTCGGCGAGCTGCTGCCAGCAGATTTTCAGCATGCAGGTGCCAAATAACACGTGACACTTGCAGCCCATGTACGCCAGATTGTACACCGCCTGCAGCACCACCACCACCACCGTCATCATCGTCACCACCACCACCACACTCACCGCCACCATCATAATCGCCACTACCAACCGCCGTTCGCTAACAAGTGGCGGTGACGTCACGACGGCACCTGTGCCTGCGTCCGGGGATGGAATTCCTTTCCAGCTCAGACCCAGCGTGCCCTTCGCCACAAACATCACCTCTTGCTGTGTGTAACGGCTCTCTCGCTGCTCCAGCAGTTCAACTGCTGGGGTATGCTTTTTCGCCCTAAAGACGACCGCTTTGTGGTGTTGCGATCAAAACAGCGTGGACGTTTTATTTTTTCTACCTCCGTGATGACTTTACCGAAAGAACCCAAAGGGGTGTGGATTCCTGCAGTCGCGAAAGCTTCAAATCAAGATTCATGCATAACAATAATCTTAAATGTAAGAACTGTATCCTGCGACCAGACGTTATTGTACTTGAAACATAAACCGGTAAAATTTTGATTTAAAGCTTTCGTGATTGCAGGGATTAATATTCTTGGTTCTTTCGGTAAAGTCACGTAGAAGGGAAAAATGAAATAATAAATAAATATATAAGCCAATTCAATTCTCACGATGTTTCGACTGCAACACAAGCAATCATCAGGTGTGAAAACCACAGCAAGAAAATTTGAAAAAAGTTGTGTTTTTTTCTTCAAATTTTGATGATGATTGTTTGTGTTGCAGTCGAAACGTCGTGAGAATTTTAATGTTCATATTTTTATTTTTTTATTATTTTATTGTTTCCCTTCTACATGACTTCACCGAAAGAACCAAGAATATAACCGGTGAAAGTTAAAGCGAGAATCATTGCATCAATCACGATTGGTAATACAACCCGAGCCGACAAAGCCGAACCTAATTTGCATTGATCGCATAAAATAACTTTTTTCCATTACATTTGTTTTTTTAATGACAATACACACACATGCACAACCCACCCGTTCACCCACTCACCAGCCGGCCGGCCTCGTTGTTGTGCAAATTCATCGCCAAAGACTCCCCTCCTTGCCCGCTGCCACGATTGTGATCGCCCGCATCCACGAACCACTTGGCGAATTGGTATCCGTATTCGACGTCGTCTCCGGAGCCGCCCCGCCGAGCATCCGGCGGTAGCTTCATGGCGTGGGGAACGACCCAGGAGCAAGCACCCTGCAGGGCCCCCTGGCGGCAGGCGCGCGCCACCGCGTGGGCCACTCCGGCAGCGGTGACGGCGGAGACGAACGCGGCCTCGCGCGAGCCTGGGGAGACTCCCAGGGGGGCGTCGTGCGTGAAGCCCGCCCCGTCAGCTGGAGACGGTGCGGCCAGACCGGTGTGGGAAGGGGTTTTGGGGGAGAACACGCCAAGCAGGTGGTAGGGAAAACGTCGCCTATTTAGAGACAGACCCCTCTCACGGGATTTGCCCGGGGACCGAACAATGGGCTCCGCGGCCCTGCGAAAGGAGAGCCCCCGAATCGGCGGCGTGGGGGCGCGCAGCTCAGAAGCGGCAGCAGCACGAGCGGCTGGGGAGAGCTCCCACCCTCAAGGACCGACACGAGTGGGGACCAGGGGGATCGTCGCCGCGGGTAGGAGCCGAGCGCCGTCTCCAACTCCGCGGAATAGATCTCGGGACAGGGAAACGATCAGGTGACGGGTATTACGATCGCTGCTTTTACAGCGGCCGACCTGGGGAGCGAACTAGGGCCGGTGGGACGTCCGGGACCCCCAAGAGGCGTGCCAGGAGCGTCAGGAGCAGTGAAGCGAGCGAGCCGCAGCCTGGCACTGGCCCAGAGCGAAGGCGGTTGCCATCGGGATAACGGGGCGGCCGCTTGGGCCGCCCGCGGACATCTCTCGCTGCCCGAGGACGGGAACTCTGCGAAGCAGAGTCGCGTAGGGGAGGGGGAAACCCCTGGAGGAGGAACGCGGGAACTCCGAAGCAGAGTCGCGTAGGGGTGGGAGGTGGGCGACCCCCCCCGACCCCCCCCCTTTCCCCCCCCAAAAAAGCTTCTGTGTGCGTGTCTCGGGGAAGCGGTCGGGCACCTTAGGTGCGAGTGGATGTGGCGGGCTCGCTCTGACCCCTTACCCGACTTGGCCACGAGGTCCAGTGCGTCCTCCGCGCCAGGCACGGTGCAGTTCCACCGTTTGCCCTGGAACTGGTGCCGGCACTCGGACAGCGCCAGGTGGACGCCCTCGGCCACGTGCGCCACGTGGTCCCGGTGCCGCAGGCATATTCTGCGCTGTGCGGGAGACAGCCCCGGCACCCAAATGCACAGCGGCCGATACTCGGAGGGGTCAAAGTTGGGGACCCACAGTGCGAGCGACCTGCAGAGGGATGGGGGCGGAAGTCACGGTGGCCGGGGGATGTTGACTACCTCGCCTGGTACGCAGGCAGTTGTGGGTTCGATCCCAACCCCTTAAAAAATGCCTGCTGCTGCATGTACGTTTTGAGTTTGCATGTCTCTCTCCGTGGTTGCGTGGATTCATCTCCAGGTCCCTCTGGTTTAGAATCAACGTCTCTACGCGTTTGGAGTGATTTGGCTGCTGCTATAAATCACCACGTGATGATGATATCGGCCACTTGCTTGAGCTATAAAGTGCGATAGCCAGGCCTCTCCTGAAAAAGTGCTACATGATAAAAAGTTAAATAGAGCAAATATCTGTGGAATTTCTACAGGTTTGTAAATTTGAATATTACACGATGTACACACACACACACACGAGTTATTCTTCTCTGAAGTTGTGTAGTGACACAGCGCCGACCGCTGTCCAGCGGCGGCAACTGCTGTGGACAGCGAGTGCACTCACGCCGTCGAGAGTCTACACACGGCCGCTGCGTGCCGGCAGGGCGGAGGAACCGGGGCAAGGGTCACGGAAGACCTCACAGGGAGGGAGGCCCCTGGAACCCTCTGGTTGGTTTGAGAAGGGAGGTGGGGCCAGGGGCGGGGCCAGGGCAGGGCCAGGGGCGGGGCCAGGCCAGGCCAGGGGCCAGGGGCAATATAAAAGCAGCGGTGAGAGCGCTCCGGGCTGCCGGTACTGGGAATGGACTCTTCTTCTCATTGTCGCCTTCACCGGTAATTGTGCGGCCGGACAGCGGTTGGTCGTCTCGGTCGACGCAACGCGGTTCAGGGTCGTGTCTGGGCCGCGGCTGTACGGCAGCGTGGTCGAGAGAGAGAGGCCGGAGTTGGTGTAACGGAAATAAGAGACGGTGCCTCCTGCGACTGCATCGTCTCCGACTGTGCGTGTGCGTGCCGCACGCCGGAGGAGGACGCTACATGGGCGCAGGATGGGAAACAAGCGATTGTCTTTTAGCGCGCAAGACCCCGGCCGAGCCAAGTGACTCTTTCCTCAGCGGCGACCTGGCGATCATCACGCTGACACTTACAGCAGTAGGCAAACACTCTCAACGCGTGCTTCTAAATGTGGAGGGAATAATCGGAGGACCCCGGAATAAAAATTCTTAAGACGACCACGGGGAAAATATAGCAACTCCAAATATACGGCATGTGTCAAGGTCGCGATTGAACCCACGACCTCCTGCATAACAGCCGAGGTCGTCAACATCTCCTAGCCACCATGGTGCCCCAATATACCGCGCTAGATACTGTATATGTGATGTATATACACGCACACGATAAAAAAAATCCCGTACAACAACCGTATTGAGTGTGCAAAATAGAGGCAAGGTAAGAAGGTTGCTCAAATCGACGTCGAAACTTGTGAGCTCTCATCGCAGCAGTGAGGACGAAGACAGCGGCAGTGGCGGCGGCTTGCAGTCACCACAAGGAGGCGCTGGCGACTGCCCACAGCTGTGCCAAGGCGCAGAGCCCCAGCGGGAACCAGTCCACACGTCGCAGGGGATCCATCGAAATCCTCGTGGTCAGCGGCGCTGCGCAGAAGAGAAGCGGCCCGGTGGTGACGATGTTAACTCCCTCGCCTGGTACACAAGAGGTCGTGGGTTCGACCCTGACGATGCCCGCTGCCGTATGTTTTGAGTTTTCACGTCTCGCTCATCATCATCATCACCACCATGGTGGCTGGGAGATGTTCATTACCTCGCGTGGTACGCGGGATCGAACCCACGACCGCTTGCGTACCAGGCGAGGGAGTTAACATCTCCTAGCCACAGTGATCGTGACCAACTCGACTGCCGTCACTCTGGTGGGTACGATGGAATTAAGCTGCGGTAACGACGTTAAATCTATGAATGCATGCGGGGTATATGGAGGTGCGGGCTATCTGAATTTCTGCGGGTTACATGCTTGAAACTACGGTAGTCTCAATGGAGCGTGGCTGCTGGTGGAGGGGGGTGAGGGCATGTGAGGATGATGAGTCTCCCCGGTATCGTCTGAAGAGCGCGATGGGCCGGGGAGTTTCATGCTCCCCACCGTGAAACACTTGCACACGCACACACAAAGACAAAGGTCCCCCGTGCAAGCCTTAGACCATCGAGGCAAGTACCGTTAGCGAGTAGCGGCGCCACGCTCGGCCGCCTTTGTCTCCCCTGTGGCGAGGTCTACCCATCGCACCAGGTGTGCTCATTTGAGGCCGAGTATACCTAGGGGAGGCCCAGGACCGGTTCAGATAATCGTCACTGGCGTTGGCTGTGAGCGAGGGAACTGAAATAGGGTCAAGAATTGACTCCACCTACGTTCATCATATTTATATTTTTAAGGCCGGAAGTTTGACCACTCGCTCGCTCCCTTCGGGGCGAAGCGGCTAAGGAGCGAAATCCTTTCGCGTGAAGACGAAAAAAAACTCGCCCGCAATGTGGCGCCATTCCGATTGCAAACGGTGCGACACTTCGGGACGTGCTCCACGGGCCGTGGACGAGTTTCCCCGTCGTCGGCAGTCTCACCTGGCAGGTGCACAGGCAGGTACACAGCCTGGCAGGCAGGTAGGTAGGCTGGCAGGCAGGAAGGCAGGGCAGGCAGGTGGGGCAGGCAGGCGGGTAGGCAGGCAGGCAGGCGGGCAGGTAGGCGGGCAGGCAGGCAGTGGAATCCACACCCCCGCAGTGTCAGCGGAGGGCCCTTTTATAGATCTTGTTGTTTGTCAAATTAGTCATCACGGCGTGCTCATCACGAGTCCACGTGCTCCCGAGATGATCTCATCCCACACACACCTGCAGCCACTTTCCACAAAGCCCTGCCCCCCTCCCCACGTGCGTCCCTCGCTCCTCATCAATCAAGAGACACCCTGCCCCCAACGCCATCACTCTGACTGCCACAGTGATAGACTTGGGGGGTGGGTTATGTCCGCAACGTTGTGTCCACGTTCACGCAGATGCGTATACGTGGTTTTCTCGACATATTATTTATGTTGAGTTTAACACGTAGGCTTTCGCGACCAATATTATTCACAATCAAGGTTTTTGGGTTAGATCGTGTTATTTAATGTGTTTTAACTCTCCACCACCCGACACAGCCAAACAGTAAAAAAAGTGTCACGTTTAAAAAAGACAAATAGTTCACTGCTTTAGCCAATCGGTGTGTTGAAGAGTGAATCAACATCATTTACATTTTTTGAGTAGTACGACGTTTCGCTGGTAATTACATTCAGTATCAACGGGCGATTTGCCAGAATGGTGAAGCCCTCTCCACTTGCTCCCGGTCTTAAATAGAGCAGCAGCAGGGTGACGTCATCATTTAACCCAGTCTGGTGCGGTGATTTGAGGCGGAGCGGGTATTGTAATTATATAATAGATTGGTAATCATTCAATCGTTATTCATTGGTTTTTTTCCCATGTAAGGAATTGTTTGGATTGCCACGTACGGCGCGAAAGAAGTCCAACGTCTATGTTGAGTGATCGCTGCACTCTCACGGGTCACTACGCTCTACCGTACAACACCGCGCGGTCTGTCAAAGGCCCTCCTCGCTCGTGGGTGAGTTATTCAAGGCAGAGCCATACGGTGAAGAACAGAAGTCAACGGAAGCCCGCGAATGTGTTAACAAATTCATCAATAACGGAGGTTTTTTGGGGTCAGATCGCGTAAATGTGTAAATGTTGTGTTGTTGAACCCGCCGCCACCCGAGACAGCCAACCAGTGAGGGTTGTCACGTAAACAGAACGTGGCCAATTCGTCACTGGTACAGCACGCCGGTTGTGTGTTGGAGAGCTGGCTAGCTGTCACCTGAAGCTCGTTGTGATTAATGGCGAAACGTCATGGTACTCAGTTTGTTAATGTCGTGGCTTGGCTGTCCAACACACAACCGGTGTTCTGTACTAGTATACTACACTATACACTACACTATACACTACACTATACACTACACTATACACTACACTACTATACACTAATATACACTACACTATACACTACACTATACACTAATATACACTACACTATACACTACTATACACTACACTATACACTACTATACACTACTATACACCAATATACACTACACTATACACTACACTATACACTACACTATACACTACACTATGCACTAATATACACTACACTATACACTACACTATACACTACTATACACTACACTATACACTGCACTATACACTGACATACACGACAATATACACTAATATACACTACACAATACACTACACTATACACTACTATACACTACACTATACACTACACTATACACTAATATACACTACACTATACACTAATATACACTACTATACACTACACTATACACTGCACTATTATACACTACACTATACACTACACTATACACTACACTATACACTACACTATACACTACTATACACTACACTATACACTGCGCTATACACTAGTACACACTACACTATACACTACTATACACTACACTATACACTAATATACACTACACTATACACTACACTATACACTACTATACACTACACTATGCACTAATATACACTACACTATACACTACTATACACTACACTATACACTACACTATACACTAATATACACTACACTATAAACTAATATACACTACCCTATACACTACACTATACACTAATATACACTACACTATACACTACACTACACACTCGTGCTGTGCTAGTGACGAATCGGCCACGTTCTGTTCATGTGACAACCCTTACTGGTTGGCTGTGTCGGGTGGTGGCGGGTTTTAACGACACAACATTTATATTTGTACGCGATCTGACCCCACAAAAACCTCTCGTGGATGATAATGTTCGTTACAGCCTGCTACGTGTTAAACCGTTCAGAAATGCTTCGTATAATTCACAGCAGCCATTATAAACCATGATGTTGTCTTAAACAGAGACATCCTCCGACGAAAGTAAAATCATTGATCGGCCTACGCTTTAAAAGCGCTGGCATTGCAGCGGCACTGCGGTGTTACCACACAACAAATCTGCACCGCTGATTGTAAAGTCTTGGGGGGATTTGCCAAGGCCACTCCGTCATCAAGAAGGGCCCCTGGTGACTGTCGCGGTCCCCAAGTGACGAGATTCATTCCCCGGGCCGGACGAACGAACGGCCGGGGGCGGCGCAGCACGTGACGCAAGAGTCACGTCGGCTGGGGGTCTCGGTCGGTGATGCCCAGAGGGGCGGCAAGGGAAATCCGGCCAGGCCCCTCTGACGGCCGATAGCCGAGAAGCACCGAACGTCGGTGAAGCTGCTTGTTGTGATTACTGACGAAACGTCGTGTTCACGTTGTTCATGTTTGGGCTTTGCTCTCCAGCGCACCGCTGTTGCCGTGCTAGTGACGAATTGGGCCACGTTCTGTTCACGGGACAAACTAACTGGCTGCGTCGGGTGGTGGCGGGTTTAACGACACATATATTTACGCGATCTAACACAAAAAACACCTCTATCACGGAGGTAATTCATGATTTGCAGCGGAATGTAGTTTGTGTGTTACAAGTCCTGCCACGCGCGACAATGGTCAGACAACATTTGTCTTCATCCTGGGACCTCCTTTTGCCAGCGCCAAAAAGTGATGGTAGGTTTGTCCACCTTTTTGTCTGGCAACGAAACAGCGGCGTCAAGATGTTAAAACGCCAAACTGAAACCTTTTACAAGGAATCACGTTGCTGCATTCACCACAATGCTTGTGGTCAAAATGCAAACAAAAAACGTACTCTGATCATATATGATGATGCATTGTCTTTGAAACTGCTTGGGTCTACACCAGAGACGCATTTTTGGCCTTTTGGCGTCCTCTGGTCTAACACCGTCTGAGACGAGGCTCCTAAGAAAGCTGTCTCTGGTGTGGGCCAATCAGTTTTCAAAGACAATGCATCATCAAATATTATCAGAGTGTGTTGTTTTTGTTTGCATTCTGACCACAAGCATTGTGGTTAATGCAGCAACGTGATTCCTTGTTAAAAGGTTTCAGTTTTGGTGTTTTAACATCTTAACGCTGCTGTTTCGTTGCCAGAAGAAAAGGGGAAAACCCCTATGATCATGTATTCGTCTGTTTGGTTTTTATTTTATCCGCAAATTTCAGGACTAACTGAGCAGCACCTCAATTACTGTTTTCAAGCCGATGCGGTTGAGTTTCTAAGAGACTGACGTTGTACAATGGACTGATATCCTTTAGGCTCCTCACTGAAATCTATTTGAAACCCAATTTCATCTCAAAATGCCTTTTTTTGCTGATGGATTTCTGAGCAGCTCCAGTTGTTTATCTTGAGTGTCGTTGGGACGGACGGATGGACGGATCTGCAGCGAGGGCATTGAGCCAGAATCGCCGAGACCCTGGGTTTGAATCCAAGCAACAACCGCCTAATGTTTAAACCGTACCCTTAAATGTGTACATTTGATGTCGGCCAAATCACCAACGACTACGCTAACCATCATGCTAAAAATAGTTCTCACTTAATTTGGGCCAAGTTCCAGCTCTACACAAATAAATATTTTTTTTCTCACCATAATTC